CCACTACATTTTCAATTTTGAAGACTCCTTTTCCATCTCTTTTTAGCTCAATTTTAAACATTTAAATACAAACAGAAACCTACCAAACTCCATCTGCAATATACATTTTTTGCATAAATAAAGATAATAGCCTCATTTATGATTTGAAAAATTTCTAAAAAAATGGAAAGTTAATTGCAAATTTTTCAAAGCCAACACTAACTGTAATAATAATCAAAACATGTTTCTGTTGTTTTTGAAAAAAAAAACAAAATTTCTCAAAACCATATTTGTAAATAAAAAAACTCTACATATTCAGTTAAAACAACAAAAAAAAACATTAAATAATGGCTGATAGAATAGCTGAAAGTGCTTGATATATATATATATAAAATTTTTTTTTTTTTTTACACGAATTTTATTTTTTCATTTATTCTCAAAAGAAATATCATGAATGACAAAAAATTGAAGAAAAAAAAATCTCAGTAAAAAATTTTATTTTATTTGAAGGCTGGATAAAATTTAAATATCATTTTGATTTCCAAAATTTTTAATTTTATATATATATATATCCTATAATTATTTTATAAAATAATATGGATGTAACAGTAAGAGATAGATTTGTATCTACCATCAAAAAAGACTGAAAAAAAAATTTTTTATTATTGTTTAAGGTTTTTTTTACGTAAAATCTTAATTTTGTTTTTTTTTTTTTTTTTTTTTTTTTTTTGGTTAAAAATTTGAAATTCAAACAAAACATTGTTTTCAATCGTTATGAGTCTAAATTGAATAGAATTTTTTATAAACAATTGTCTTGTTTATGGAAATTTTAAAGCATTCTGAATGTAAAAATAAAAAAAAAGTTTGCCAGACAATAAGAAACAATCCTGCCAAAAAAAAAAAAAAAATTATGTTTTTTTGAAAAAATTAAATTAAAATTTTTTTTAACACACATACACACACACACAAACAACCAACCTGAGTTTTATAATAAGTATAACTTACTATGAGTTGTCCCTTTTTCATTAATTTTAAAGTAAAAATCGTGTTTTCAAATTGATTTTTTTTTAAAATATTTTTGTTTTTCCAATTTTACTGTCAGAACCACCATAAAAGTAATTTTATGGCAGTCCTGTGAAGTTTTGTTGAAATCGGTTGAAAAATGTAGGAAATCTGATCCAATATATAAACGTATTTGTCACACATAATCTAAATTTTTATAATAAAAGATATATATTTATTTATTTATTTTCTGTTTATAAAAATTTATTTTTATAGATACAGTTTATTTAAGTTTTGCTATGTTTTTTAATTAAAATGTATTAATTACATTTAAAAAAAAATGAATGTTCAAGAAATTCCATAGAGAATATGTGTTCTCTGATTTAAATTATCAAAAAATGTATATCCCTTTAAGAGAAACCATCATTTGGCCTTTTTATTGTACCATTCATCTACAGAAAAACAAAATGTTAGTAAAGTTCAAATTACTGTTTATAAAACACAATTATCGATCATTTCTGCTCACAAAATGTTTCTTAACATGAAAAATGACAACATATGAAATAAACAGAAAATATATTAAATAATTGTCAAACAATCCATTTATATATATATATATATATATATATATATATTATAATAATATTTTTGTTTAAAATATGATTTTTCAATTGTATAAGAGTTCTCTTGTTTCAAAAAAGATTTAGCAAAATCATCAAATAATTATTAAAATTAAGTTGGATTGTGGTGTTTTTTTTCCCATTTCATCTTTAAAATCAAATTTTAAAAAAAGTGAACTTCTCTCGGTTTTTCCATTTTAGGCATGGTCCGTTACAGAATTCAAAAAATATTGTGGGAGTTAAAGACTATTTTCCTTCCTTATCTGGTCAGAGAAATTCTTAATACAATTTTTTCATCATCTTCTGAGAGGTTTTGCTAAGTTATTGAATAATATTTTCCTGCTAATGCACCCAACGTGTTCTTTTCTATTTTCTGCATACAATTACATATATATATATATATAAAGTAAAAATAAAATATAGAATTTGTCAACAAAAGTTTTGATGTTATTTTCAATTAATCCTAAAAGTGTTTCTTTCTTTTCAGACAGACCCTCCAGTAATCGATCCAGAGATGTATAGTTTGGATTTTGATGGATTACCTTTCTGTATTTTTCCATGCTAGCCAAGAATATGTTTTATTTAATTTTTTTCTATGATTTAAATTTTTTGTCTTTTAAAATAATTTTTATTTTCAAATAAATATAATAAAATGATTTTGTTTTTTTAAAGTAATTATTTTTGATATTTTTTTTTATTTTTATTTTTTAAAATAATTGGAATAGAAATTTTTTATAATATTTAAAAAATTAGCCAAAAAATTGCCATTTTATTTTAGAAAGTTTTTGATAATTGTTAAAAAAATATTCTTTGTTTTAGTCTGAATTTTTATTTTTTTGGAATGACATTTGTATCATTTCATAATATTCATCTTCTATATAATAAATGCAAATGTTGTCACACATTTTCAACGTTACTCTTAGAGGCTTTTTCCATACATATACCATTTTGGAATCAGGCCAACTCTGTGAGCAAATTAAAAACATTCTGGGCTGATCCAGACCCACAATCCTGAAATTTTGGATTCCCAAATTTTTACTGCATTATTTTGATTTTTTTTTTTTTTTTTTTTTTTTTTTTTTTGCAACAAATTTTTTTTTTATATGACAACAATTTCTATAACTTAAATAAATTTGAGAATAATCAAAATTAATTGCAAAATCCAGTGAAAGTCACCCATGAAATAAAATAATTTTTGTATGGAAAGTAAGGACCTATGTACATCAAGTTATCTTTAAATTCAGTGGTGACAGAAGAATTATCATTGAACTTTTAAAAGGTAAGCTTACATATTAATGAATACTTAAATGCAGTGTTCTTCTGTAGTTTATTGTTGCCTATTATATCTACTCCTCCCTGCCTATTGTGATGAAAGATTTCTTTCTCTGACAAAATCTTTTCTTTTTTTCCTTTTCTCTCTCCCTTTATGCATTTTATCACCCAATCTCTTTCATTACTTCTTCTGACATTTTCTCTCTCTTTCGATCTCACTTTCTCTCTCTGAATGTTTTGGAGAGAGAGAGAGCTCTCTCTCCAAAACATTCATCCTGTTTCTTCATTCTCTCTTTCTTTCTATCTCCTGAACATTTATTTTCTCTCTCTCATTTTCAGTTTCTTCTTGCTTTCCTTTTTTTCCTATTTCCTGTCTTTGAACCAACCTGTCATTTCTTTCTTTCCCTCTCTCTACTTTGCTCTTGTTCTCTTTTACTCTCTCTCTCTCTCTCTCTACTTTGCTCTCTTTATCTCTGCCTCTCTATCTACTTTTCTCCACAGTCTGTCATATTCAACCTCCATTTCCCTCACCCTCCTTTCCTTCAACCTTCCATCGCACATATTTGGCACTTGGCCAAACACCCCACATTTTTTTCTGCTTTACAAATCAAGATTTGAAGACAACAAAAGCTTTCTTATTACTTAAGAGATTCAGAGAGGCAAACACACAAAACCAAAAGAAGGCACTTTCCAGAGAAGAGTCTGTATTTTTTATTAATCTATAAAGATGCAAAAGACAAAAAATACAGACATCTTCTTTTTATTAATCTATAACTATCCAATGAGGATGTGCGGGTGGTGTAAAGGCTCTTGGCTCGGAATGATAAATCTGAGAGCCATGTTTCAATTCCAGTAAGATTTGTTACATTCACTTATGAGCAAATATCCTCTGATAAGGTATGAATTCATCTCTCATCTCCCCAGCTATGGGTTAAATAGCAGGACAGACTGAGCCCTATAGCCTGGGTTGGCAACCAGTCTAGCACAGAAAGAAATATCAGCCTACTATTGAAAAAATCTTCTGTTGAGTCAGTCATGAACTGAAACAGACATGATTAGCCAAGCATGTATCATATATGGCACCTGACAGAACTTTTTTTTATTGACCTATGACTATGCAACTTATATTTAATATAAATGTACAGTATATGAAATGTACAACAGAAAAGTAGGTAGCTTGAAGATAAAGGATTTCTGTTCATTAGAATTTGATGAAATCCAGTAAAATAAAAAGTCATGCCTGATACCCTTCTTAGTGAATTTCAAAACACTTAACCAGCAATTCTTCCTTCTTTTGTCAATCTGCCTTTCCAATGTGCTAGTCTATATTCTCATTCCTTTATCCATCATACCTGATACCCATCCTAGGGAATTTCAAAACACTTAACCAGTAATTTCTCCTCCATATTCTTCTTTTATCAAAACCTTTGTTACAATGTATTTTCCTTCTTATTTTTACAGATGATATTTATGCAACTCCTTTTCTTGCTTCACATCTTTTGTGTGAATTCAAAAAGCAAGAAAGAATCCTTCAAGAATGAAAAGCCAATATTTGCCACAAAAACAGCATATGGTTGGTTACCCACGAAAAATGAATTTTTTTCAAATCCCCCTAAATTACATAGCCAAGTGCTATATAGAAACCAAAACTGCAGTGCTATGCATGTATACACTATCCTCCGCCATGGTGCTAGAAATCCTGGACTTCGAGACACAAAACACATAGCCAATTTGCAGTGGAAGCTGACCAAAATCAAATCCTTCAGCTCAGTCACTGAACCATTGAAATTCTGGAAGAGTCCATTTTTGGAATCTGGTGAGGGGCAACTGATAAAGCTTGGAAGATCTGAACACATTCAGAATGCACATCGCTTTATGGCAGCATTTGACAATGTCTTTTTAAAGAATGGACGAATCCAACTGTTGAGATTGGTCTCATCTACAAAGCAGCGTTGTGTGGATAGCATGAAAGCCTTTGGAGATGGAGTCAAAGATTATCTACGGACACACAAACTGGACACACAGGACTTTGATCAACAGGTGACATTTTCCAACAACAATACTTTGTTGCGATTTTATGATTACTGTGCAAAATACCAAAAAGATGTGAAAAAGAACAAGAAAGCAATGTCAGATTATTACGAGTTCTTCAGAGGGAAGAGTATTGGTAAAGTTGTTAAAAAGATCAACCAGAAATTCAAAACTGATGACTCCTTTTTCAACTTGGGTAAGTTCTCTTCTTCTATGTACTGTGTCCCTTTTCCTTAATGGGTGAGCATGGCTCCCCACACCTTCCTATCTTTTGAAGATTTTAACAATGTTTGCCTTTTCACTATCCCTCCTCCTCCTCATTAGTTCTGGGTATGACAATAAACTACATCTGGCAGCAAGATTAGATGGTTTGAGAAGCATGGAACCACCTCTTAATTGCTGTTGTTCTCCAGTTCACCCTGACCCAAGGTAGTAGCACCTGTTAGGGTCCCAGCTATGGGCAAATAGTAAATCCCCACCAAACAAAACACTATGAAAGTATAAAAATATATTTTTCTAGTAAAAATACCAGAAATACATTTTTATATAAAAAGAATTACCAACAATACCTATTTATACTATTTACATTATTTGGACTATTGTCCTCATCTTATTGTCATCACCATATTTATTCAACATTTCGGCCATTGTAAAAAATATAAAATCTTCATTGGAATGTCAAACTAAACCCTTTATTTTGCTCACTGGGGTTAATACTGTTCGATTCCAAAAAACCATGTTTAATGGATGTCAGTTGTCAAAATCTCTTGTTAATTCCCCTCTCCAAGTTCTCCACTGCCTTTTTTACCTGGTATTGAACTCACACTCTTTGGGTCCTGTCACTGGATCTAAAAATGCCTTTATCCAGTGTTAAAATTTGTGTCCTTGACAAAGATGAGGAAAATAGTCCTGTAATGTAAATAGTGTACATATTACCTCATCTCAGAAATATAGACAGATACTGAAGGGCTGAAACATAATAAATATGGCGACAAAGATGAGGACAATAGTCCAAATAATGTAAATAGTATACATAATACATATCAGAAATATAGATAAATACCTATTTATAGTAAAATTACCAACAATACATTTTATAGTAGAATTATCAACTATAAATTTTATCTGTAGTTGCATTCAAAACATATTTAGTTGAAGCCATAAAATTGTGTTTAATATATCTAGGTTTTGTCATTAAATAACCCAGAGAAGTTGATATGTCGCTAAACAAAATCAACCAAATCCTCCTCCCCATCCATGTAGACAAACTTGTTAACAAGGTTAATCGCTCTTCCTCTTGCCTTCAACATGTCCTGTGAGTATCAACTTTTACAAGCTCTCTCTCCTCATAATGTGTCCTAGAAATTTTTCAACCCTTTTTTTTTTTTTTTGTCTAAGTGTTCTTTTTGTTTTCATTTTTCTTAAAACTTCCTTATTGCTCACATGCTCCATCCATTATATTCTCAACACTATGCTGTAGAATTATGTTTCTCTTGCCTCAATTCTCTTCTTCATCTGTGAAAGAAACTGTTCAGCATTCACTGCTGTATAGAAAGAAGTACAGTAAGGTTGTATGCGGTCTGACTGTTCTTGTATCCTCATCCTTCTGCCAGTTCAATATAATGATTTTCTGGATTAAAATCATTAGTAAAACTAATAAATTTAGATACATCAGTAATAACGTGAGTTGTGGCTCCACAATCAACAAGTCAACTGTTTTTGTTGGAAATGGCATCTAATCCAATTGGAAACAGAAATGAAGCATGGATGATCACATTTTTGTTCAATGGATTGGAATTACTGGATAATTCCAAAATTTACTTTGGCAGTAAGGGCTTTTATGTCTAGGTTTACCAAAAATAAAATATTATTAATGTGTGGCTTTGGTCTTGCCATTTGCATTCTGAGGGTCATTACTGTATTTTCACTATTATTTTCCTCAATCGTCTCGGTTTCTTCAAAGCTTTGCAATGCTACTTTAAACTCACTAAATATTACTAGTTTGTCTTTCTTAGTAATAATAATAATAGTTGTAAACAGTTTAAATTCAGGCTGAAAGCCTTTTACGACCATGGCTATTAGCAAACAATTACTAATTACTTCTCTGGAGGTTTTAATAAAATTACTGTATTTTCAGCTTTAATCTCTATATATAAAACAGAAGATGTCTGTCTTTGTGATACCTTTTCACTTGAGATCCATCCAACTGATTTTAACCAAACTTGGCACATACATTGTACAATGTTAGAGATAGGTTCTTAGTGTAAAAAATTGATATTTTTTAAATCAATAATTGATAAAGCCGATCAAAAATCGATAAATTTAACTTTTTTCTCTGATTTCATTCAAACTTGGTATGTAGGTTACTTACATCATGACAAGCTCAACACTACCTCAATTTTATTTCTATGCCACTGCATTTAACGAAAAAGAAAAAATTGATATCAACACAAATTTTAAACTGTAATCTCCCTCAATTTTCAAGCAATCTAATACAAACTTCACTCAATTGTAGCCAACAATAAGTTGATTGTTTAACAGTCATTTAACTTGATAATTGAGTACACCCATATAGTGAAAATCCATTTACTGGTTTCTTTCTTGTTTTTCGTTGATCTTTCAACCAATTTTCATAAAACTTAACAATTGCTTTATAAATGTATCCTCTTTTACATCCCTGGTAGCACACTGAAAAATTGAATTTCAAAAACTCCAAAATATTTAACTTCATATTGCTTGTTTTACCCCTTCATGTCTTCAGCTAACTTCAATTGAATAAATACAGACTAGTTCTGTTATATCAGTAACTTATAATTCAAAATGTTTGTTAATGAAAGTACTTTTTTTTTTGCTCCATTCTAATTGAATACTTTTTCTGATTGACCATGGCTGCTAGTAATACTTTCAGCACTTGCTCTGAATAGGTAGGTTAATTCAGTATACAAGGAAATTATTTTCAGTTTTCCTTTTGATAAATAGTGCTCTCTCAAAATTTGCAGTACTTTTCTGCCATTATCAGGAGCTTCTTTCATAATAAGAGACAGACTTCAGTCATCAAGAAATTGGATTAATTCAAAAAACTCCAAATCATTGGGACATTCAAATGGTGCCAAGATAGATTCGAGTAATATTTGGATTTTCATGTATCCTAAAGATTTTACCTCCCAGAGTTCATATTTTGATGTGTCACCGTTGAAGCAGGGTTTATTCCTGAGCTGATAACCAGTAGAGTGAGTGGCCATTGTTAAATGTAAACAAATGGCAGTACTGACCAACAAACAGAATTGACAAAGTTTGCAATAAGCAACAATGAAAAAAAGAAAAGAGGAAGGCAAGTAAACAATATATGCAAGACAAATTAACAGTAATAAGACAAAGCAACAGTAATACGGTAAAAAAGTTCACAAACTAAGAATTGGAGCTGACAATTCGGATAAACAAATGTAACATTCTGACTTCAAACAAGACAAGACAGACTGGGACTGAGTCAGATGAAAGTGAGAACTGGCTTATTTTATTGGCTAGGAAGAAATCCCAGCATGCATTTGTGTTCTTCTGCTTATAAATTGGGGAAGGGGAAAATGAGTGCATATCCATTAGATTGAGGGTGGAGGGTGGGGGTTCCAGTTGCAAATGGGAATAATTACAAAACACTTTCCCCTCTCCAATGTTTATTTTAATTAATGAATCAATTAATTTAGCATTTATTTTAACACTACTTTAAGAATGAAAATATTCAAGAATGTAAACTTAAGTTTCTATCTCTGGTGTATACATTGCGGTGACGAAGGAGAGAAAACAAAAATTTACTTCAGGAAAGAATTTCTCTTCTTTGTATAATCTGTCAAAAAAGAAAATCAGAATCAAGATTTGGTAATAAATATGGTAATTGTTTGGGCTTTCATTCCAGTCTCAAACAATCACAGGCTTTCTTACCCTATTTTGGATCACAGGGGTCATACTTGTCTCTTAGTGACTGAAGACGTAGATATGTATTCCAAGTTGATGTGAATTTTTTACTCTTTTGATTTATGCCCC